AATCTTCACTCACTATTTACATGTCTCCTGAAAGGTGCTTTATTTAGTGGCATTGCAGAGTCCCGCTTTTGCTGGGGGTGGGAGGTAAGTTTTCTTTGGTGGAAAATTCTACCCTAAAAGCAGAGAAGGACAAACATAGCTGGCATCGGGGCATCTCAAATCTCATCACTCAGGTGGCCTTCTCTAAAAAGAGACTTCTTTTTTTGCTTAATGCCAACCTTCCCATGTAAAAGTCAAAGGTGATTTAGGGTGGCTTAGTGGTTAAGAGCTTGGCTGCTAACCAAAAGGTCAGCAGTTCAAATCCACCAGCCACTCTTTGGAAACCCTATGGGGCAGTTCTACTCTGTCCTATAGGGTTGCTATGAGTTGAAATCATCTACGGCAACAGGTTTGATTTTGGCCTAAGATCATTCACTGACTCTTACTAAATGAGAATTTGCCCTGTACTGTAAATACGGAATACTTTCAAAATATAATCACTATGCAAAATATTGGGCAAGAGTTATTGTAATAGGATCATTAGACCCAGGCCAGGATTCTAAACAGTCTGTTACGTTCTAACACTAAAAATATAGAGGGACTAGGCAAAAAAAAAAAAAATCTGTATTATTATTATTATCTTTAGTGGAAACCTGAGTAAAGAGAGAAGCTATAGGCCCTGCTGAAGAAAACTACTGGAGGATTAAAAAAAGGCTTTAAAGAAAATCTGCATTAAAAAAAAAAAAAAATCAAAGCCCAGTAAACAAACCAACGCTGCAGTGTTGGCAGACAAGCGTAAGCAAATGTGAATGTGGAAACTGAATATCACTATAGCAATGACAGGTATCCCAGAAATGGGGGGCTCATGTTTCATGTACACTCAATGGACATTTATAACCCGGGATCTGTCAGGGTTTGGCTGAAATTCAGAAAGCAGCAGACCTCAGGCACCTGTCATTTCAACAAGGGATTCTAAGAGCACATAGTACATTTACAGTAAGCATGCAATAATTCATTGAAATAACACCGTATCACTACTACCACTTCTTTTTGCAAGCATTATCTTATCTGAATCAGAAAACCTAAGACTCTGTCACTTACCTTGGCACCTTTGAGCAAAAATCCCTGATATTTAATCTGAGCTTTTGGGTTATTTGGCTATGAAATGCGGTCCTATAACGTTTTTTATTGCCCATAGCTGTTTCAAAGAGCAAGCGTGACTAGATGAAAAGCTTTTAAAAATGTAAACTACAATAAACATGTTCTATCAAAATTGTTACTGATTACTAATAATGCTAAGTGACACTGTCCCATTTCAAGTCAACAAGGGCTACTGAAAAAGGGAATGAGCCTCAGCTTGCTTTGCTAAATACCAGTTTTCCAACGGTATATACAGTGTGGCTAAATTAGAAAAATGAACCCACCTATATGGAAAAAAAATTTTTTTTTGAGAGAGAAATCTACGGGAAACTGGATTTTAAAAAGGAAGGCAGAATTTCGGCCTTTGAAAAGCCTGAAATACTACAGGGATAAAAAGAATGAAAAATAACAAAAGCCCCTTAACTCTAAAATTGTATGGCCAGATGAGCTGTTCCCTCCCCACTGCACCAAACAGCTCTGTGGACTGCATTCTGAATACAGAAATATGGCTGTATTAAAGACAAAAAAAAAAAAAGGACTCCCGGAAGACGGAAGGTTATATGTATCACTGTTGCACTTGGTCGCATAAATAAATTATCATATAATTAATTGTGATTCACTGTATAAATACAGTGTCATAGCAGAATGGCCATTATTATACCTAGCATTTGCCTGCACAATTTTACTAACTGCAGCAGATACCAAGAAATTCTAATCTAACAGCCTCCTTTGATTCTTAAGAAGCAAGGAGGGATTCACATGCTAAATAAGGTTTCCAAAAACATGTTTCAGTCACCAAAATTATTTCAAAGGGTAACAGAAATATAGAAACAGTCTATTAGTAGATGATGCTGAGTATGGAAGAGGCTTCAACCCTTTAGATATTCTAGAACTTTAACTGTGCTATTGATTTATAGCTTTTAATATACACTTTTCTCTTTTTAAAATTCCCTATAATGTGATTATACTGTTTGGACAATAAAAACAGAGAGGACACACACACACACACACACACACACACACACACACACGCACACACATTTTAAAAGCAACAGATGAGTCTGTATGTCACGAATTAGGAGCCATATCACAGGCCAGCCATTTGAGCTGCATCTTCAGGGGAAGAAGGGATGGATGGCTTGTTTGATATGTTGAGACCAGACAGTTAATGTTTCTTGTCCTCAGTGTGGGTAACAGCTCCTCCTTCCTCCTCCATCCCTGCGTCATAAGTAATTCAGACCCAGATGGGGTGCTTTTCTGGTCTCTTAGGCAAAACGAAGCCGGGTCAGAAAATGAAGGTGATCCTGGCTATGTATATGCCAGCTCAGGCCCGATGCTTTCCAGCCTGTTTCTCGAGCTAAGCTGCATCCAAACAGCAACCTCATAGGAGCCAAGCCAGAATAATGGCAGGGTGACCTCGGCAAATTTCCTTCGGTTAAGCTTAATTCTTCCCCTGGCTGTAAAACAAGGGGAAGCAAGGGAAATTCTAATATCCTTAAGACTTGGCCCCAGAGGTGGGCAGTTTGCTGCAGGATTTGTGTGTTCATATTGCAGGGGAGATGGCTTCAGTCCGGAAGCAAGTGGTGGCTGCTCGTCCCCCTCCCTCTTCCCCCCTCCCCCAGAGAACAGAATACCTCAGTCACGGGGCTAAACAAGACCTTAGTGGAGATCTGCTAGGAAAGTTTTATTTCATAAATGAAGCAACTGAGGCCCCTGCACGTAAGGGATACTGTCAATTAGGGACTAAGTGCACACAGCCACTTAGGTCTCCTGTCTGTCCCCAGTTGTCTCCTCCGTCCCTCACTGCCTCCATTACAGATCTGCTTCCCCGAGCTCTGCCTGGAATACTGAAATGGGGCTGTTATGACAAAAGCAGTTGTCTGCAGAGAGAACTGTGCGTCGTCACCTAAGGCTCTGTGGTTTTAGCGCTGTTGGGGCATCTGAAATTTAAAGCTATCTCCCTTCTGTATGTTTTTTTGGGAAATGATAACGTCATTATTTCCCTTGCAGGGCATAAATAAAATGATAATCACATTTTTAAAAAACATGGTTTGTGGGAGACACATCTCACGAGGGCACACAGTTATGTCAATATTGTCATTAATAAGAAACCATCACACATTATCAAATATTTAACAAACAAACATACCGCCACCTTAGACACTGTGATCTCATAATCCCTTGAAAGGTTCTCAAAGAATTAAAGAAATTAAGATTGTGGGGCTTCACTTTAGAAATTCTCATTTAAGCCAAAGATTCAGACCATTGCTAATTGCTGCTCTGATTCAATGTGGCAAAAACCGTTAATGCCCCAGAGCTGAGAGGAGAGGCTGGGGAAGGGAGGAGGGGGGATGCGAAGGGTCAGGGAAGAACTTAGACATATGGGAGAGGGTCTTACTGTGGGGTGAAGAAGGGGGTCTTGCAGAGGGGATAGGGGAAGATGGGGGGCACCAAAGGCACTCTTTAGAATATGATTATTTCCATTTTAATCACAATTTCTTTTCATATTTTTTGATTCAAAACCGAGTAACAAAGGAGCTTACCTTTGAGCCTCTTGGCCCCCAGCTAAAGCTGCTTGAAAAAACTCAATTGATATTATTTCACAAGCCATATTCAGCTTTACCACATTTTGTCCACACACGTAAGATACACTCAGAGCATTTTTTTTTCAAATTTCACTTTATTTTAACTGCATTTCAGGCACGTAGACTGCATAGCACTCCCAACACCTAACGCCCCTCCTTTTAAACCAAGCCCCTCCCCCTGTATTCTCTGCAAACGTGTAAATGATTGGCTTACCTCCAGTTCTTCCCTAGGGAAAAAAAAAACCATTTTATATTTTTTTAAACACAGCCACGCCCACCCCCTTGGCACCAGCCAAGTGTGGCTTTAGATCCAGACTTGCCTGCAGCGGCTTCAGTGTTTTTTTCCCCCTCCACCCTCCAATCCCCACCAGGTGAGCTGAGTATGTGCAGAATACCGGACCTACGTACGGTGCAGCCGCCGACGCCCCAGATCCCTGTGCGACTGGTTTTTCAACCGTAAAGGCGGGAGGGTTTGGCGAACGAATAAGTGAGGACAACGCTTAGCGCAAAGGGAAGAAAGAAAGAGAGACATAGAGAAAACAGGTTATGTAAGTCCGCAGGCAGTGGCCCCCTGCCTCGGGGCCACTGGCCCCGCATCTTACCAAGTCGTCCGGCCACCGTGCCCGCTGCATTTCCGCGCTGCACCGCGCCAGCGCACAGGTCCCACCAGGCGTGCGCCAACACGGAAAGTTTTTGCCCGCGCCCAGGAGCCAAACACAGAAAGCCTGCTCCCCAGTACAGATACACAGTCGGCGGATACTCAGGGTTGGGGGATTGGGGGACACTTGAGCGTATCATGCACAGGCGTACACAGAATATGAACAACACCACACACCAACGACACAAGCTGTCCGAGTCCAAGCAGCCGGGCCAGACGAGGCGGGGCGCACCTTCCCAACGACCCCAGCCACCGCGCCCCGGCCACGACGCCGGGGGAGCCCCGGGCCCCTCCCCAGCGGGTCCTGGCTCACCTGAAGCCCCCGCCTGTCCTCCCGGCCCCCACCCCCCGGGGCTCCGGGGCAGCTTACGGTGCGGGCGCTGGCTTGTCCAGCCGGAAACGACCCTCAATGTCGCTCTGCGCCACTTTCTCCCTGGAGGGCATACACTGGGGCCACCCAAGACCCCTGGCCCCTCCCGTGCCCCGGGCAAAGTTAGGGCCCCTGGCTAGAACTTCCTGGCAGGCGCTCCTGCCTTTGCCCGGGCCCTCCTCAGCCGCGGGCCCTGCGCCCCACCAGGCCGCCCTGCCACCCTCCCGGCCGCCGGCGGCCCTGCTCGTGGGCAGAGTCGCCGTATTACCTAGAAGCAGCAGGCGGTGCGTACACATGTACCCCATCTTTTCATCCTTGAGCTGCTTTTCGATGAGCTTGCTGCGCTTCTTCTCCGCGCGCTTCTGAGCACGTTTCTCCAGCGCGTCTTTGCGCTTCTGGCGCCGCTTCTCAGCCAGAGGCATCTTCTTGCCTTTGGAGCCGTGGGCCGCTCCGGACTGGGGGCTCTCAGAACGGCATCCGAAGCAGCCTCCGAAGGCTTGCATGAGGAACTTGTGGAGCAAGTTGCGGTGGTGCTTGCGGCGGCGGCGGCCGCGCCGGCACTGACCCCAGAAGTAGCAGCCGGGGGTCTCCTCGTCGGACTCGTAGCTGCTGTGCTCGTCGTCGCTGCTGTCGGAGCCTTCGTCGTGGCGGCTGCGGCCGCGCTCCGCCTTGACCCGCCGGGCAGCCGCGCGAGGAGGGACCGGACTCGGGAGATCGGCAGCCTGGATCTCCGGGCTGGGGGGTCGGAGGAGCTGCAGCTGGGGGCGGTCTCCGGTGGCTGCTGCGGCGGCAGCAGCGGCTGCGACCGGGCTGCGGGCACGGGCCCAGGCGGTAGGGGTGGCCCGGGCAGCGGTGGCAAC